GACAGGGGACAGGATGGGGACAGCCTGTGCGGAAACCAAGCGAGTGGAACAGGAGACGACTATGTTGCCGGGCCCCTGCTTTCCTGGCTGCAGGGGGACCTCGAGCGATTTTCTGCCTTCTGCCTTTTCCTCCCAGGCTCCCTTCTTGCCTCCCTAGCTGGCCATTATTCCCAGTTCAGCAGACCTTATTTAGACCTCTTAACCAGCTGGGGAAGTCACTTGCTCTATGACCCGTTGCAGGGACGGTGGGTTAAAAGTTGTCTTGACAAGGCTGAATTGTCCTGGGAGGAGCTGAGGGAGCGCCTCAGCTGCCTCTGTCGGGGATCTGTGCTGCTCAGGGGACAGACCCAAGCTGCTCTGAAACTCTTGAAGGCACGGGATGGAGACTTCAAAGTCCGTGGCCTAAGTGTGTGGACTGACTTACTGATGGAAGTAGAGGAATATCTGAGGAAAGAAGCAGAGCGCTAATGTGTGAACGCAAAAGCAACATGAAAACTTCTGAAATCTAGCAAATCTGCTGTTTAACTCTATTTGATATGAAAGGCAAAAACCCATACCTCGCTTTGAGTTGAAAACCAAGCATTGTTGTGACTGCTAATCACACTTTCTGCCTGCATGTGAAGTCTTTCGGGGAGCCCTGGTACTTTCTTACCGTTACAATTGTGCTGACAATTCTGGTCACTGCAGGAAACGTCTTCCTTTTCAATACTTGCTGCTCACCTAATAAAATGAAGAAAATTCTTTCTGTTTCAAATATAGAATAGTTTTCTGTTTAGAAAATATTACAATTCAGATATGGTCATGGTAGTTGTGTGTCTAACTGTTGGAGGCTGACCAAAAGCTCAAAGGGAGGGTGGATTTTTCAAATGTGAAAACCCCAAATTCAGGGTTAATTTAATAGTGGTTGTCTTCATTGGGCTGTCTGCTCTGGTGGCCGCTTTCATGCTTCTGTAGCTCTTGCACATGACTTAGCCCCTGGGTCTAAGTGAAGGTGAGAGAAAGCCAACTGAAAAGCTTATTGAAAAGTTCTAAAATTAGAGAACTCTATTAGTTGCTATATTATATGATAATAAGCAAGTATTTCCAAAGAAAACTGTAGTAAAATGTGGGGTGTTCTGTGTGGTTTTCTTCCCTTTTCCATGGTCTGTTACATGATTTTTATTTCTGTTTTGTGGAACAGAAAAGTGAGTGGACAACAAACTTTTTTATTAGATGACTTTTTTTTTTCTTTTTTCTTTTATGTTTAATCAATTTCTGTGAATGAAACTTGGTCAGGGTAGTTTCTGTCTTAACTGTCATTTAAAATGAGTATTGTAACACAGAGCTAACGTGTTCATATATATTTAGCTCAGTAAGCTAGTATTACCAAAGTGAGCACTGTGATAAGAGATATAATAGTCGAGGAAATAGGGGAAATGTATGTGAATACTGCAAAAAGAGGTCTTCATTAATCTTTTGTGGTGAGTACCTGTCGAAAGAGTTACTGTAGCCCATATTCTTACAGGTTCAAGGTGAATTGAGACAGCGCTCGCTCTCTTCTGTTGCTGAAGTCCCTTTAGGAAGGGTTAGAAGGTGCTTTGCTTCTGCTTATAAGCTTAAAAAAAGCAAACGACATTAAAAAGTATAAACTGGATTTGAAACTAAATAGAGTAGTAGTTTGTATTACAACATAAAATAGTATATACATTTATGGCAGATATTTCTGTACCACAACACTAGGGAAGGAGGAATCTTGTGATTTTAAAATGGAAACAATTAGTACAAGGGGATGAATATTGTTTATCTGGGAAGAGAAATAATGCCTTTTCTATCTCAGATGGTAATACTTAGAGACATACACAAGTTCTTATTCTTCCCCCTCCTCTTCTAAAATAAAAGACATACTCAAGGGTAGCACACTTTAAATGGTTAGAAGGACATGCTAGTAATCTCCTATCAAAAATATGACTGTTTTATTTGGATTCCTTGCTGTATCATGTCAGTGAGGCAGTGAAATTATGGAAGTCTGCAGATGAACATATTCTAAAAGCTACAGCTAAGGCAGTCATCTTGCTCTTTCTTAAATGGGGCTGTCCCCCCTTCTGGAACTCGTGGTGTTGGTCAGTCTTAAAAGAGAGCACAATGTCAGTGAACCTCAGGACTGAGTCAGTATTTCTGTGGTATCGAAAGGAATATGAACAATGTCTTTAAGTGTTTAAAACCGCTTAGAAATATAAAGTATGAAGGTTGAACTTACGTTGTCTAGCCACAGTTCCCTGCGTTCTATAGTTTTGGCATTTGGTATGGAAACTTCACTTGAGCTTGCTCTTAACGCTTTTAACAGGCATAAGGTTTTTTGTCTGTTAGAATACTTTTTGCTATCATAAGTTCCTGATGAATGACATACCCAAAGATACTAGTCAAAATCATTCCCTTTTCCCTGGCTATATGTTAAGGGTGAATATCAAATGTTGCAGTAATGTTACAAATGTTACAGTGAGGAAAAAAAACCCTTATCAGTGCTCTTACTTCTTCATGGAAATCTGACAGGAAAAGATGCGTAGAAGCTGCTGGCATTCCCTCTCATAGTGAGAGATAATTGACCTCAACTATTTAAAAACTGACTGTTCACATGTACCTGAGCCTCTGACAAATTTCAATCAGAGTTAAGTCTTGTTTTTCCTTGTCAAGGTAGATATCTTTCCTAATGTACTCGGCATGTTGACCGTGAGTTAAATCTTTTAGCAGCTTTTAAGTACTTCTAGGATAAACCTGATGCTTGTAGGGAGTTTGTACTTGCACTATTTAAAGTCTTGCTTTTTGATAAACTCAAGGTTTCTCTTATGAAATTCAGTTCATGAAGAGAGATGACTTCTTTCCAAGTAATTTAGCATTACACCTTTAATTAGCTAAGTTCAACTACAGAATCTCCTATTGCAGAAGCTAGGAAGTAATAGGCCCTTCAGTGTGACTTTATTAAGAAAGTAAAGAAATAATCAGGGAGGGGAAGGCAAGAAATGGGCCAGTGCATAAATACTTGATTTCCAATTCTGTCCTCCTTAGAGGAAAACTGAAGGGTAAAAGGGTAGTTTTAGCTTCAGTAAGGCTGAAGCACCTGGTTATAGCAAATTTGCAAAAACGTTCCAATCTGTCCCAAATACATTATAAAGAGTTGCCAGATCCATGATTACTGAATTCCAAAATCCATATGGCATTTATTGAAATTAATGCACCAGTCCACTTCCCCTATTGTTTCAGCTTACTTGTCAAGTTTGCCAGGTAGCTGTGCAAATGACACTTAATTAAAATATTTTGGAACTCTGTTTTTAATACAAGTGTAAACAGGAAAGGAAAAAGTGTGATGTCTGTAACCTCCTCCCTCTATGTGTTTGCAGCTCATATTTGCATGCTGAGGTTTGCAGCCCCAAATTTTGCAAACTCTTGACCTAAACAATCTCAACTGTCGTGGGAAATAAGATATTAGAAATGACAGACTACAGTTTCTTCCCCCACCACCTTCGTCCCCTTTTTACTAATAAAGAGAAACAGGTCTCTGCTGTTTTCTCTATTAAAATGGTGATTGAAGAAACTGTTATATTCCTGTTTCAGAAGACTGGTAAGTGTTGAGCCATCTTGTTTCACATAGTGAATCAGGAGAATATTACTTGCCCAATAAATAGCTAAGATGGATACATTTTGTTACCACTGATTTATTTATTTATTTATTTATTTATTAAGTACTAATTTGACAACACCTTACTTCTTGTCAAACAGTAATGTAACTCTCCGCAAGTGACATACTGGAAGGTATATGGATGCTAAGTTGCCTTTTTTTCTGATTTCTCCTGTGAGGTGTCTGTTACCTTGTAATAACCCTATTGAGCAAAATTCAGAAGAAAACAAATTATATGTTTTTCTTATAATTTGCAGTATGTATCTAGATACTAGAAAAAGCATGGTGTAGAATAAATAATGGTGTAGAATAAATTGTTCATTTAGGAAAAAATATAAGCAGATTGGTTATCAGATTGGACTCAGAATATGAGTGTTAAGGAACATGTGTTAAATTCAGAGTGTCCAGTTGAAGTGTTAAGTCCAATAATGCATGCAAATGAATTGTTGTCTTGCATGCAAGGTTTCTTTCCCACACCCCCCAACTTGGTGAATAAGGGTCTAATGTTTTTCAGTGACAATGAAGAGTGACTTTTTTTCTTTTTTCTTTTGTGTAAGCATTTTTTTTAGGTCATGGAGACAGACTAATATTTTGATCATATGGCAATAGTATTTTCAGGCACAGTTTAACTAGAAAGCTGAGTTAAAGTTGTATGGCTAATTTTAGTTCTGCTGTTTCTGAAAAATTGAAGATTTAAACCTAAATTCTATTCCTCATGAAGAGTTTGGATGAATGACCCGTTGCAGAGTGCAAGTGAAGGTGCCACACCATTGCTAGAAGAATGTAGTGAAGAGGCACCACTAGCATGGGAAACATCTACTTGAGAAGCTTATTTAGTTTGATGGGCAGAGTTACAGAAAAATAAATAAGATGCAAGTGGAGATGGTGAGGAGAAAAGGCAGAAAACTGCCCCCTTCTGAAGGCCCTGGAGAAAGGGTAGATTTCCCCTTCACCAAAACTGAGTGGCTTTGCAACTGCTGGGGACAGCATTGGGTCTGTGAATGTTGTGATTAAAAAAAAAAAAGGGAATCAAAAGACTTTTGATTTGATGCTGACTGCTTTGCTAAAGCACTCAGCCTCTGCCTTCCCTAGTGACCACTTGGATCAATGGTTTAACAGGCAAGAATATTAACGTAGTGAATGAGAAATGTAGCTGTGTGTACAGGGCAGGAAACTGCTTGCTTTTGTCGGGGTTGCTCTCTCAGAGGTGAGAGCAAAAGAACAATATTCTATCTGCCCTGGTATAAAGTAAACTTGAATAATCACATGTATGGTCAGGCAAAATAGCAGTTTATCAGTTTAATAATGAATATAAATCCTCACACACTGTTTGCTGTCAGTATTATATCTGTCTCATGAGGGATTAAATGTTATTTTGACCAAACATAGCATTCTCTATTAATCAGTTATGTGCCGGTACTGAATTTCAGATTAAGAGATGATAGACAACCTGGAAACAGTTATGTTTTTGTTCTCCCTTACCTATATACTTTTTTAAATGTCTTGGGGAAAAAAAATGGGTGTAGCAATGAACTAGACCAAAGGTAAACACATAGTTAAGAGGCATTCTCTTACTATTTTTCAAACGTAGCCTCAAAATATGTTAAGCTGTTTGATGTAGCTGCTACTTCATTATTGAAGTCATTCATGTACCAACAGCACTTTAATTCCTTGTGTGCCAATACCTTAGAGTTACTGATATGGCTTTCCATATTTAATTATGTTCTAATAGTTTTTCATTGTGTCTGTTCTTTCACAACTAGAGATCTTTGTCCCTAAATCTCAGGTACCACAGAGGGTGGCAGCAGAGTCTCTC